CAAAAAGGTCGCTGTTTCGAGACTCAGCTGTGTCTGTTGGCATTTCTGTGTGGAGTTTGCATGTTCTCCCCATGTTCACATGGGTTTCCTCCAGGTGCTCCAGTTTTACCCCTCAAGTCCATAATGTATGTGTGGGAATGAGAGTGTATGAGTGTTTCCCAGTGATGGATTGCAGCTGAAAAAAGGAATTAACTGCGTAAAACGTGCTGCATAAGTTGGCGGTTCATTCCGCTGTGACGATCCCAGATTAATAAAGGGACTAAGCTGGAAAATAAAATGAACAAATCAATGAACTGTGGAAGTCAAGGGTTACCGGTTTGTAACATTTTTCTAAATTTCTTCTCTTTTTGATCAACAGAAAAAAACGAAACTCTTGAAGGTGAGTAAACTTTAATTTTTGGTTGAACTGCCCTTTAAGTCTCATGAATGCACAGTTACTGCACAAATCAAACAATTAAAGTACGAGTTCACCCTAAAAATTTAATTTACAATTACCTCAGGCCATCCAAATTTAATTAATTTCTTCAGTAGGACATTAAAGAAGATTTTAATGCCTTGTGATTCTTATAATCAAAGTCTTCTGGCAACTTGAGTCAAAGTAACATATACAAGGATACACAATTAATTCCTGTGGCTCCTGTCTACATGCTTATAAAGTAAAAATAAATAAATACATTAAATTTAGATTTGAACACTTTACAACATGCCATATAAAACCATATTCTTTAATACTTTTAAAAAAGAAATCTTAATGCTTTTGCAGAGAATTTAAAAAGGCATTACGCCAGGGTGTGTATAGAATGATGTAATTTTCATTTGAGTGAACTATCCCTTTAAGCTAAGGCATTTAGCAAAACAGCTTACCAAAGTAATTAATAGTTGGTGAACCTGTCATTTGGAACACAACCCAAGAAGGAAGCACATTATTATCTCCTGATGTAACCTTGTTTACTTCCTTATAGCAAAATAGCCTTTGTGATCAGGAAGTAGACTAATGTTGTATTAGGGGCTATTATAAGGCAGAGAATGCAAATGAATAAGTAAACAAACACGAAATATGATGACCTGATAAATGCTAATTTTGGATGCTAATCTTTGTAAGAACATATTAGCAACAAACATATTTCACTGTCAAATAACTGAAGTAATATAAGCAGCAAACTGATTTTAGGCTGACATTTTCACAAAAACAATGAGTCTAAAATAAAATAAACATACTTTACAGTGCAAGATGAAAGCAATTGTAATTTTGGATTTGCAAAATATTATATGTAGCATTGTTTAGCATAAAAGCTACTGTTCCCTGTTAAAGAAGCCATGATGGTATTTGTAATGGTTTTACACACTCACCTGTCACTTTAGGTACACCTGTTTAACTGCTTGCTAATGCAAATTTCTAATCAGCCAATCACATGGCAGCAACTAAATGCATGTAGGCAGGCCTGGACAAGATCTGCTGCAGTTCCAACCGAGCATCAGAATAGGCAAGAAAGGTGATTTGAGTGAACAGAACGTGGCATGGTTGTTGGTGCCCGACGGGCTGGTCTGAGTATTTCAGAAAACTGCAGATCTACTGGGATTTTCGTGCACAACCAATTCTAGGGTTTACAGACAATAACACGAAAAAGAAAAAATATCCAGTGAGCAGCAGATCTGTGGGCGGAGGAGAATGACCATAGTCTTCTGCTGTGACATTCAAATGGCAGGATCAGAATTTGGCGTCAACAATTTGAAAGCATAAATCCATCCTGTTTTGTATCAACGATTCACATTTTGGGCCCATTAGTACCAGCTGATGCCACAGCCTACCTGAGTATTGTTGCTGACCATGCTCGTCCCTTTATGACCACAGTGTACACATCTTCTGATGGCTACTTCCAGCAAGATAACGCGTCACGTCATAAAGCATGAATCATCTCAGACTGGTTTCTTGAACATGACAATGAGTTCACTGTACTCAAATGGCCTCCAGAGTCCCCAGGTCTCAATCCAATAAAGCACCTTTGGGATGTGGCAGAACGGGAGATTCAGATCATGGATGTGCAGCCGACAAATCTGCAGCAACTGCGTGATACTATCATGTCAATATGAACCAAAATCCATGAGGAATATTTCCAGTACCTTATTGAATCTATGCCACGAATGATTAATGCAGTTCTGAAGGCAAAAGGTATACTTACCTAATAAAGTGTGTACCCAATAAAGTGGCCAGTGGGTGTTTGTTGTAATGTAAATTATATTGGTTTTATAGGAAGGCAAAAGCTAATACCCAGACAGCACACATACGTTGGGCCGACGTCGTGCCGATTTTCAAAATTCCATCGGTGCGATGTCGCTCAGGGAGCGTTTGCTAATTGGCAAAATGTCGCCGCGACGTCGGCAAATGATCGGAAACGCTGTCCGGCCGATGTTAGGACGACGCAACCGGAAATACCGGCCGCGCCGCGGAGGCGCTGTTCTCAGGCGTTTTGCTCATACTTATGGACCACTAGATGCAGCAGCTGCTTATTTATAATAAACACGACACACCACTCTCAATAACAGTTGAAGATTTATTAATATTTTCACAAACATACAAATAGATTAACATACTTTTATCACACATAACCATGTTTTACCACGTTTAAAACAAAAACAACAAGTTGTACTATAACCATGGCTAAGCTACTGTGCAATAAAGATTTTAAATACAAAGTTCATTGCAGCATTTATATTAAGACCATAGGAATATTTACAAGTACTTCAAAACATGTACACTAAGGGTGACTATAGTTTACTACAGTAAAAACACAAATAACTTGTGTAAGCACATGTTATAATGCTTATAATTTCTTAAATAGTGTTAAAGAAAATGCATGTTTCCAAGACTATAATTTTAAAATACAAGATAATTCCAGTCATGTGTTCAGTATCCAAAAGACTTTCTTCAGGGAGATACAATAATAAAAGAGTACACAAACACAAAATAAATACCAAGCAAACAATATTTACAGTAGTAAATAAAATCATACAAATTAAAGTAATTGTCTGATAAAATCTTATTAAAGTCTGTAGTACAATTTTTTTTTATAAATGGCATTCAACAATTTGCAATCTCCTCTGAACTAATAACACATCAATAATAAAAAATAACAATACTTTCTCAGAGATAACCAGTTTTTTTAAGCAAACTCTAATGCACGACACAAAACAGATTTTGTCATTATATATATATATATATATATAATCCCTTAATTTCTGTTTAACGGAAATATTTTTTAACACATTTCTAATCACAATAGTTTTAATAACTCGTTTCTAATAACTGAGTAAATAATATTTGACTAGATATTCTTCAAGACACTTCTATACAGCTTAAAGTGACATTTAGAGGCTTAACTAGGCAGGTTAGGGTAATTAGGCAAGTTATTGTATATCGATGGTTTGTTCTGTAGACAGTCGAAAAAAATTGCTTAAAGAGGCTGATAATATTGACCTTAAAATGTTTTTTTTTTTTTAATTCAAAACTAAAATATAAATAAAAGAAATAAGACTTTCTCCAGAAGAAAACACAACATTTTCTTGCTCTGACCTATATATATATATATATATATATATATATATATATATATATATATATATATATATATATATATAAAAACTGGTTGTAAATTGTGTACAATGTTCCAAGAAAACAGATAAAATTAAAAGATATAACCTGTCATTTAGTTTTGTTTTATCTTGTGGAATGTTGCTTACACATAAAAGGGGATATATAGGTGGAATAAAAAGTGTGTCGCCATCCTCTAAATTGTTCTTGTATGTTGTCTTCATCTTTAGTCTTCACAAGTGAGGCTGGCCCAAACCAGGACTGTAGTAGCCAAATCTAATCCTTGTAGTGGGAACCCTTAAATAAAGCAAGAAACCAAAAGGAGAAAGATTAGCATTGCAGCAGTTCATATTACCACAAATATATATTATTTGTTTCATGACATATAACTGGAGTATGTGTTATGCAAGTGCCTAGCTAAAATGTGTAATTTAATTTAAACTTAAAGAGTGTGTCTGAGCACTAATTTTCAGAAAAGCCATTTGAAAGTTAAATTCCTTGTGAAATCATAATGAATTTTTTTTGGTTTTTAGTATCATTGTGTTAGTATAAATGTGTATCTAAATATATGTCTAATCTTCAGATACCACATTACATTATTATTATATTTAAAAAAACAGCTTGAGGAGAGAATCAGTACATTGGAATACTATTTTTTTCAGAAGGATCATGTGACACTATTAATTATATACATTGTATTAAATTCACAGTAGTACTGCTTGACTGTATTAATTAAATAAAGCTGACACTATCAGAAGAGAATTTACCATACCAACCTAAAAGCTATGAAACAGTAGTGTATGTTTAAGATGTTACTTACTAGTCCTATTGTACTTTGGAGAGGTTTTCTGACAGGAGGATCCCTTAAACTCAGCAGAATTCTCAGCAGACCATCAGCGTACACCAATCTAAGAATAAAATAAGCAATTTGTTAAAAACCAAAAAAATATATATTTTATATTTCCAGGTTCATAGGAAAGAAGAAAGTTAAAGCAGATTTAAAATGTAGAAATTGACAATTGACAATTTAATGGCACAACATACCCCAAACAAAGCACGCTCAAATGGTTAATTTACATAAATGACAACTGCTGCTCATTATACCAATATTAACTGTTAAGGATTCATTTTCTTTTGGGCTTATTCCCTTTATTAATCTGGGGTCGCCACAGCGGAATGAAAGGCCAACTTATCCAGCATATGTTTAACGCAGCGGATGCCCTTCCAGCTGCAACCAATACACACTCATTCACACACACTTATACACTATGGTCAATTTTAGCATACCCAATTCACCTATGTCTTTGGACTTGGGAAAACCGGAGCACCCGGAGGAAACCCACGCCAACACGGGGAGAGCATGCAAACTTCACACAAAAACGCCAACTGACCCAGCCGAAGCTCGAAGCAGCGACCTTCTTGCTGTGAGGCAAACGTGTTACCCTCTGCGCCACCGTGCTGCCCTGTTAAGGAATCAGATTAATATAAATGAATTGACATGTTTATTCAGTGTCTGACACATTAAATATTGCATTTTTAAATATTGTTTCATTTTAAGATTTATTTCAGAATAACTATAGAACCTGGATATATCGTCACATTTTCATGCACAGCAGCATTTCCAAGAACAAAGAAAAACAGAATATAGGACAACTGAAAAAAAAATAAAAAAAAACTCTGACTGAATGCTTTAACTAACTGGCTAGGAATGGGCAGGTATAAGATTCTGAGGGTATAATCTTAGATAAAAATATCACAGTTTCACAGTATTGTGATTACTGCTCTGAAATGTGTTTTTTTTTATCTCTGTAAAAAAAAACAGCTACTTTTTCCCCATTGAACACAATATGTTTTATTTTAAGAAACATTTAAAATATTTTGTAACAGTAAACATGCCAGGCTAAATAATAATTTAATAAAATAGTACTATCTTCATTAGACACAAAAACACTGATTTCTTGTGAAGGCATAATAAGCTATTTGTTTTTCAGATGTTTGCTGAATCGTGAGCTGACCAGTAGCTTTTGATGTGGAGGGTCTTTTGCTGCTGTAGATAGTGTTGGACTATTTTTTTAAAAACCATATACAATGCATCCGGAAAGTATTGATAGCGCTTCACTTTTTCCACATTTTTAATGTTTCAGTCTTATTTCAAAATGGATTAAATTCATTAATTTCCTCAAAATTCTACACACAATCCCCATTATGTGTGTTGACCCGATTTTTGTTAATCATTTACAAGTCAATATTGCCTATATGGATTGTGATTTTAACATGTAAAATTGCAGTGTTAAATGCAATGCCATCAAACATTTTAGAGGCACCAGAGCAAAAATCTAGTCCAGAGCACTTGGAATGCTGGTGTAGTTCTAGTTAAATTCAGTTCAGTTAAAGCTGTATATGCAGCCGGTCTCAAGTATAGGATTTAGTATTTAACTAATCTTAACAACTAAACATTTACGAATCTGTATTAGCCAGCTCATGTACTACAATGTATACAATGTATAATGTATACAATGATACTCAAGCTTTCTTTAAAATATTTTGTGTTCAACCGATTAATTAATTCTTTCATTTAATTTTTTCAGTGCAATAGTATAGCTTACACTGGTTTATTTGTATGGACCCCCCAAAATAGCGGAGTATTTTGTATAAAAGTATAAACTTCTAGCCTAGCCACTGTGAACTACCTGTCTGTCCTGCTCCAGAACTCTATGTCGGCTACTTGTATGTGTGAATACAGCTGCACAAATACAGCCTCTGCACATCCTCACCACCAGGAGAACAGAATGACCTGAAAAATATAACCAACTGAAATCAGTTGAAATGTATTTTGTCTTGTGATGATGACACAAAAATAAATTATTTTTCACAAAGGATGTGCTGTTACCTATGAAACGGTCTATAATGAATGATCTTTTGATCCTGTTTCCTTGATGTCATTCACTCAGAGATGGTTTGGACATTTGATTGTATCTAAACTGTAATGAATTTAAGTTACAAAAACATTGATAGCAGGACCATTGATCTTGTAACTTATACAAATTGTTAAGTATTGAACAAGTCTGCAACCAAACTAGTCAAGTTAATAATACTAATCTCAACTCAACTATGATTAGTTGTCTTGTTTCTGTTGCCCAGACGGTCACACCTGCTTATAAAAAAAGGAAAAAGTATGGTATTTTTACAACAATGAAACTGCAAACAACTTAACTATAAGGGGGTAAGCAGTGAGCATCTTTTATTATAAGCAATTTACTGAATACTTTGTCACTGGTATTACCTAAAAACCAAACGTCCCAAGTTTGGCTCATAGCTGTCCACACATCTGCCCAGTAGCTTATGGTAATACTGAAGACACTGATCAGCTGGTCCAACTGAGTTTGGAGTTGAACTGCAATTAGGCATCCAATACTGCAAAGAAAGAGAAACTCACTTTGGGTTAACAAATAATGTAATCCCATCCACACATTTTAAGTAACTGTGCAGTTAATTCTCTTATTGAATTAACAATAAGATACATTGTAGAATAGAAATTATACAATAGAAATAAGAGCGTGACGTGGTGGCACAATAGGTAGTGCTGTCGCCTTACAGCAAGGATGCTGACTCAAGCCTCGGCTGGATCAGCTGGCATTTCTGTGTGGAGTTTGCAAATTCTCCCTGCGTTTGCGTGGGTTTTCTCTGGGTTCTCCGGTTTTGCCTACAAGTCCAAAGACATGGGGTACAGGTGAATTGGGTAGGCTAAATTGTCTGTAGTGTATGAGTGAGAATAAGCGTATATGGTTGTTTCCCAGTCATGGCTTGCAGCTAGAAGGGCATCCACTGCGTAAAACATATGCTGGATAAGTTGACAGTTCATTCCGCTGTGGTTACCCCAGATTAATAAAGGGACTAAGCAGAAAAGAAAATTAATGAATGAATTTAATAAGAGTTAAACTGATCTGTTAACATGTCTGTCAGGAGCTGATCTACCTTATAATTAATTTTTTGCTTAATTTTTTTAAAAGGGAAATCAATACACACACATATACATATACACATATATATAAAATGTATATAAAAATATAATATATATAAAAAATGGTTCCAGTAGTAACGCTCTTTAAAGTTAAACTACATATTCACATTCCTCATCTGTCTACTGTTACATTATACTAATCACTGTTGCATACAGTGGCCGAGAGTGCGAAAGAGAGTAATAAAACACAGACAAAGACAGCTTTGTGACTTATTCTATGCTATTTGTGAGATTGTGTATGTTGTCAAACTGATGAAAATGTTTTCTCAATTTACTTTAACATTTTTATAACTTACAGCCGTTGTTAAATTTAAAAGTATTTTAAACATGGATGGACATCTAAATGCATATAGGGCACATCTCAAAACATTATTAAATTTTTCCAGATAAATCAATTTTGAATTAAAACGTATATTAATCTCCAGACTTGCATCTCCCTGATCTTTTTAAAAGAACGGCCCCTCGTTTGCTCATCACTGTTTGACAAGTGTCTGGCAGTCAGTCAAAAATATACTTACATATAAAGATGTTCATCAGCTACACGGCACTTAGGTTAAACTTTGACCTCCTTTTCAGTTGATGTGGAAAACAAAACCAAAAGAAAGACAAAACAAAACGACTGAATACAAGTTGCATATCATGCCTGTACAAATCAAAATTTATTCATTTAGGGCTTAAATTGACATGTTTGAGGATGAGTTAAGGTGTAAGGGATGAGTGAACAGTGTAAATATACATGTAATTCATAGCTATGATGTAAAGCTGAATTTTCAGCATCATTACTCAAGTCTTCAGTGTCACTTGATCTTTCAGAAATCTTTTTTTAAGATGTTGATTTGGTGCTTGAGGTTGAACTAATATAATGGTGATTATCAAATGGTGCTGATTTGCTGCTCAAGAAACATTTCTGATTGCTATCAATGCTAAAAACAGATGTGATGACAAATAATTTAGTGTAAACTTTTTTCTAAGATTTAATAAATCAATTAATCATAAAAAAATTTAACAAAATGAAAATAACAAATATTACTTCATTAGCAGCAAATCTGCATATTTATTAAGTTCTAAGGAATCATGTGATGTGAAATTTAACACCACTCACATGTTTCAATGTCAAAACTTTCTTAAAATAACTGCAATAAAGACAAGTAACAGATGCATAATATATAGACATGTAACATGTGCATAATGATGTGCAATGAAAATTCATATGAATTAATCCTCTGCTTAAAGTTACCTGTCTTTTCTGCATCTCTGTGATCAGCTCCCTTCAGAAATTTAGGAATCTTGTGTTATGTTTTCTCTAGCAGGGGGTTATTCTCTCACTCCTGAAACCACAGAACACTTTTTTACTTAACATTTGTTTAAGATAACGTTACTATGAAATATCAAAACACGATTGAACTTTTGATTCACGGTCCTTTACAGTACAATGCGTATTAGACTAACGTTACATATGGAGTGCATTAAATAAAACATTGACAAAACCTCTCATCTACACATAAAGAATAAATAAAAGCCAAAACTTTAACAAACAAGTTTAACAAGAGCTAACATTAAGTAAGTTAACGTAATATTACCACGACGCTAACGTTACCAGTGCTAATATGCTAACGGACTTTTACGAAGACTTACCACTCTTATATAACATAATATTCAACTGAATATTCATCAATTGCCAATAATAAAAGTGTGAGGAACAGTTTTATGTTGTATTTGCTTTGTTTTAGGGACTAAACTTACCTGAAAACTGTCAAAACGGCAGCTTGAGAGAAGTCGTGTTGTGTCTTTCAGGTGGTGTCGTGTCGTGTTGTAGCTTCGTTTCCCATAGCAACATCCCCTCCGCTCCAGTGTTGGAATGAGACGCGCGCGCGCACATCAAAGTCATGCAGTATTACATTTATAAACATGATCACTCCATAGACTATTTAAATAATAACCTTGTATTTTATATATTGAATTTAAAATGTATTTTGTAGTTTTATATACGCTATTATCTTTAAGACGAGCTTTATAGCCTACTAATCTGTTACAAAACAAACACTTATTTGTGCATCAGATTCACTGTCAAAAATAAATAACCAATAAATATAAATGCAAGTATATATATAAAACAAAGATGTCACTCTGTAAAAAGGTGTTTATTTTAATTAAACAGCCGAACATGCAGAACATACTTGATTTTTACACTGGAAAAAATGTATTAGAAAAAGCCACAATAAAAAAAAGCAAACAGCAGTTAACACCAGAAAAAAACAACGTTTTCATTATTAAAGCATAACAATAAAACTTTTTATATTTTAATGAATTGAAATCATGTGTTGTAGGCATTTTGGTCAGTTTTACTGCATTAATGTAGACTATTTAAAGCTGGACCGACCGACGCAGTTCACATGATGCATGTCGCGTTTGTCTAATTTATTATGCACGCAAAAACTTACTTGTAAACCAAATATGTTGCCGGATTCCTTCATGGGCATGAGAGATAAAGTGCTTATGAAGTGCTTCGTCGGCCTCTGGTCGTTAACCGATGCAGAGCCGACGTTTGTTGAGCTGGAACAATAGAACACACGACCGAACGATCATGCGTATGTTTGGCCGACCATATACCGATGTTAGAATTAAAGGGGCCGACGTGTTGACCTTCGGCCGACGTCGGCCCAACGTATGTGTGCTGTCTGGGTAGTATCCTTCGGGTTTCCACTAGTACATTCTGCATTAAAAAATACAGTAATTTGTCTGTAAATGCTGTGCTTTTGAACCATATTGTACTTTAATCTATTGATATCAGACTAAACTGATTATACAACACATGAACAGAAGATAATTATTCAGTATTAAACACAAATTTCTACAAAAGCGTATATTGTACTCCAGTAAACCAGTTTACTGTTGCAAAACTAAGCAGTATTTTTACTTTACTAACTTAGTTAAGCGGTACACTTGAGTATGCTGTAGCATTCATCAACAAAGAGTTATATTAGGCCTATAATACACTTAGTATGGTTCAAAGACACGTGTTTACTATATTAAAATATTTTTATGTGCTTAAATTGTATACATTCGGTATATTTTAATTGCATCAATATCCTAAAATATAGTTCATATAGACCACCAGAGGGAAGCAGAGGACATATAACATTAAAGATCATTTTAGTGGATTAAATGACGAATGAAAAAAGCGAACAGTTTTTAAAAATAAAAATACATGTACGTTAGTTTCTATATTAGCTGGAGCTGTCTTTAGACTGCAATGTGAGGAAAATAAATGCAGTTTTCTTTAATAAATCATTTCGATAACTGTAAATGATTTCTGCTGAACAGATATGCCTCTCCATACTTTAAAAAGCTGTTAAAATGCTAACGTTAGCTAGGTGGGTCAATACTTTTTAACTTGTCATTTTTAAGAGAATCTTCTACCAACAATATAATTATCTCACAAATCAAAGCCTTATATTACTGTATAAATTACAGCTGACACTGTAGACAGGGTGATGATCCACAACAACCGCTTGAATGCCTCAATAAAAGCTCAGAGATATATTTTCTTTAATACTTACAGTAAAATCTATTTTATTCAAAATAGCTTCCTCCATTTCTGTGACGCACATAGTTATTGTTAACAGAGCTTTAGTAAAGTAAAATATGATTAATGGTGACTAGAAAATGAAAATACCATTTCAAATCCCATTTGACAGACCTGCTTATGATCTTAGTTTGTTTCCAGCAAATGGAGATTCACAGTCCATGTGACTGCAAGCTCACGTGAAAGCTTTTGAGAAAAAAAAAATATGTTAATTTACTCAACTTCAAGGAATAAAATGTGACCTTTTTATTAAGTACATCATAGAAGAAGAGTTTAAGTTGAAACCATGATCCTTGATGATTCAAGAATTGCAAGTCAGATGCTGCACTAGCACAGTGTGTCAAAGAACATGTAAACAAACATATAAACATCAT